AAAACCCTTTTTAAAAGCAAAGTTCAAGAACTCGGGGCATAAAGGCCATCCCACCCCCCTTCCCGAACTTCATCACTTGGAAAAATTTAAAACCCTGAAAGTGACATTCCGCAGCAAGCCCACTTTTTTTTAATTAAACCTCGTCTCATTAGGCAAATACATCAAAGTTACCTGCATAGCAACAATCTCAACTCGTCCATTATTCCTAGCACATGGCATTATCATAAAAAAACATTTAAAACTCCCTTTCTCTTTACCCGCCGCCAGTTTTTTTTCTACTAAACCATTACTGTCCTTCCACCTAGTGTCACTGGCTTTTCAATATCCCCTCGTTCTGCTATTTCTAGTTCCCCCAAAATCATAATATTACTCACTGGGACTTCACTGTTTTCCTGTCAAAACCCATATCACTAAATTTCAAAATTAAAATCCTAAAACTCCCCCAGTGCATTTTTTCCGTGCCCCCACCCCAAACCCGAAAAGTGAACCCCATCCCTCATACATGCATTTTTCTGCCAAGAAGAGGTCCCATTTTGTCAAGGGAATGTTCCCGGTTTTTCCCTTTACAGTTTTTTGTCCACCAGCAATTGACCCCAAATTTGGGTTTGGGGAAAAACCATTCATTTCCAACTCCTCTCCTTGGAAAAAATACCCCCATTTGAAAGGGTTCCCACCCTTCCTCCTAATTACTCTATTGCGGGGACCTATACCTGCTAATCAAACCCTTTCACTCCTACTTCTCCAAACATCGTTGCCTCCAGCCCCCGGACAGATAATGGGAATTGCTCCCTTTAAACCTTCCCCAAAAATGTCTTCCAGATGGCTAACAATATCCTCCATCCCACCCCCGGGAAAAGGGAAAACCCTCTGTCTCCTACCCCTGTCCTTCAAACAGAACGCCCTACCCCTAAAAACCAAACTTCTATCCCCAACTACAAAAATATTCTTACCTTCTTGGTGTTGTTCATCTACTTTCCCCAAATAGTCATTTCACATTCTTTTGGGTAGCACTGAGAATGCTTTGGGATGTTTCCACAACAGTTCCACAGAAAGTTTTTCTTTTTTTCTTCATCGTTTTTTCCCTTTTCCCCATTCGTCTTCTTGATCGTCAATTTCCCCTTTCCTGTTTTTCCCAGCCACTGACCGTTTCCCTTCTTGATCTAAAACCCAAAACGGGAAAGGACTACTACGAATTTTCTTGTTTTCCCCCCGGTCAATCCCCCGAATCTCCATCTTGGGGCCGCCCTCAATTTTTCCTTAAGCTTTTGGGTTTAAATTTGCTCGATGGAGGGCTTTGGTTCAGTCCTTTAGAATTTACACCCCGACACTTTCCCCACTGAGCAAGTAAATCACCCTTTTCTAAGTACGGGTCCCCTCGGGAGCTAAGTTCAATCCTTTTATTTTTCAGGGTGGGGTTTTTTTAAACCCATCCAATTGTTTTTTCAAAAATTGAAAAAGTTGAAATCAAGCAAGTCCAGGGGTCAAACAAAAATATAATTGAATTTTGCTTCATAAAAAAAGCAGTTTTGAAAATAATATGAATATTTTTTTTTGGTTTAAAATAAATTAGATTCTTTTTATAATTAATAAAATTTTGGTTAAGTTTAATAATAAAAATGGAAAAAATAAAAAAACCTTTTTTTTGGGGTAAAATAATTTTTAGGGGGATGTCGTGAGGACCTTTTCTAGTTGGCCAGCAGACCAAATGCAATGTTCCTTTTCTTATGAGCCCCAATTGTCCCCGGGTCAGGTTTTTTCTTTGTTGTGGGATTTTGACTGTGAGGTGTGGTCAACCCTTTTTAATTGCCTTCCTTTGATTTATTATTTTTCGTAGTTCCTTGACAATGTGAGTAGTCACGAAAGTGCTTGGAATTTCATACTTTTCACAGTGGTTTTTTTTGAAAATTTTTTAAAATCACCTAGGGCGACAAACACCGCGGGGAAAATTGCCAAAAAACAGGACCCCCCGACACCTCAAAAATCAGGACCCCAATTAGCAAAAAAAAAAGAAGAGGGTAAATCCCTTTTGGGAGTTTTGAGACTTAAAACCCAGTGAGGATACCACCCCCCCCAAAAGGACGTCAGCAGGGCACAAGCCCCTGAAGGCCAAACATCCACCCAAAGGGGCCCCCCAGAAACCAACATTGACCTCCCTGACATGCAGCAGGCGAAGAAATTAACCTTACAGGATGTGTTTGGGGTATAAAGCTTTTTAGGGTCATTTCCACGGGGTTCAGCAGGGGGTTTTCACGGGTTTTAAGGCCTAACAAAAAAAAACCCAAATATTTCAACCCAAAGAACTTGGTGGGTTTTCAAGAGGTTTGCTGTTGAACTCCCCAAAATTTTTCCAACCTGTCCCCTGGCTGGGGGGTTGTCCCAGGGGCCCTCCCCCCTTTTTCTTTGGTGCCTCATTGTGGGCCCCCCGGGAAAAAAAGGAGGGCGGAATCGGGCCCATTGCAGGGGGTTTAAAAACCCTTCGGGCCTAGTCACCAAGGCTGCAGTAAGAAGGGTGAGTCAAGAGGCTGCTGCCAAAAGCTGAAACCAAATCAGTTGGTTTTGGCGTTCAAAAAGGGCTGTGAAGGGAGCTGCCCCCGCCGCCGAGGGATATATCAAAAACATGGGCCCCATGAAAAAACCTTTGGGCAAATTGGGCTTTGCCAATCTTTCAACTCAGTCAGAAGGGGTGCTGCTCTCCAAGCAGTTTATAGAAACTTCCCTTCCCCTTTTTCCCTTAAAAGAATCGTGTTAAAAGTGTGACTTCCAAACTATTGGTTTTGGGGGCCCTGAAATTGACTCGTGTTTAGGGGTGCAACAGGGGGGCCCCCTGCCCCCTTTCTATTTTGTTTGGGCTCCCAAAGGGAAATCCCCGGGGGGCACTCCCAGCGAGCTAATATCTGGTTTTCCCGGGCGACGGGACCCTAGCTGGCACACAAAAAAAAACTCTCCTGGGGGGCATCAGTAAAATTAAAAAAATGGGAGAAAGCCTGGGGGCTTTCTTTAAACCCCACAAAAAGGGAAATATTTTTTAAACCTCAACAGTTGGGTCCAGAATATTAGTACCATTTTACCAGGGGCAAGGGCCCTTGATCCCGGGCCCAAAAGACTCTCCTCGGGGCTTCCCCCTTTTGGGGCCCAAAGCCCCGATCTGATCCTAGGAAAAAAAGTCTCAGACCTCCGGGCGATTTGGGAAACAGGGTGAAAGGGCATTGACACCACGATTTCCTTTTTTCCCCACTCACCCGGTGCCTGTCAACCCCAAAAAAAACCTATTTTTTTGAGATGCTCCCCACCTTTAGCCCCTTTCCAAAAAATCAAAGGAAAATGACTCCCCTCCGAAAGGGCCCTGCTAGAGAGGGGTATTGAATCTTTCCCTTGACGTTTGGGCGTGGTTTCAAAACCCCACTTCCGGGCAGGGTTGGAGGGCTAGGAGTACGCAGATCCTCCCCGATTGCTCTACCCGGGTTTTTCCCATCCCCTTCCAAATTTTCATCAAAAAGAGTTGATAAGACAAATTTTTTTCCTGACACCCCCCAGGACTCAGCAGGAATAGAAACCCAGCTTTGTATTTCCATCACCGAATGGGGGGACTCTTGCTGCTCCAGCACCCCAAAACCCCAGTGCAGCACTGGGTCAAAAAACATCAAGCTGGGATTGCCCAATTTCTTTAAAAGGTTTTTTCCAACCTGTCAAAAGGGGTGCAAACATCAAAATAGGGAATTGCCCGTCCCCCAGGCTGTGGTAAACCCCACTCCGGGGACTTCCTCCAAAAAAAGTTTCCCCTATCGGCAATTGGGGAACGCGACTCGACCTAAGACCCCGTATTTCAGTGGCTCTGCGCCTTTTCTGCCCCAATTCACACAGAATTAAAATGTGTATTTGCGGGAAGTGCAAACAGACCAATAAAGGTCTACTTTGGGCTCAAAATGTTCCCCAAAAAAAGGGGGTGGCATTTCAAGACACCCAAAGAGGTCAACGACATCATTAAGGGGAACCCTTGCTACGTGGGTGCCCGCCCAGAGGGAGCCACGATCACTTTTCAGGGAAACAATACCCCCAACCCCGGGAAAAACCGCCCCGAAAGGGATCCCCAAACTAACCTTTGGAAAAATGGCAAGCTCTTAGCATGGGGCAATACCTGTGTGTCCACACTGGCTGACCCCCTAATCCATCACAGTGGGGGCGACAGGGGGGACTGCTGACCCAGGGAAAGGGGTAAAAATCAGCAAAATTTCAAGGGGCATTAGCCAACAGTATAAATTTTTTCCCAGTGGGACAGAGACCCTTTGGGGTCTTGGGGGGAAAAAAAGCCCCGTTCCTTAAAAAATTGGGTTTTTCCCGACTCACGACACCACCAGGGACCCCCAAAGGGGGCCACTTTCATGTTCCAGCGCCTCAGGGCGCCATCCGAGGGGGGGGGAAATGCTTGCTGCATAAATTTTTTCACGTCCAGCCTTTGGGGGGAGCTGGGAAATTCAAACATCTTTTTATTTCATTTGCCCTTGTTTTTCATGTTTACGTTTTTTTCTGTAAAAGTATTTTTTTTATTAAAAAAAATGTTTACATTGAATATTTTAAAAATATGGGGGGGTAGGAGAAGAAAAAAATTCAAACAGCTCCGGGGAGAACCTTGAGTTTTCCCCCGAGGTACGTTTATTGTCTTCTCTGAGGGTGGGGGGTCCCCAATTTCCCCTATAGAGGGGGTACTTCCCCATATTTTTTATGTTTTTATATTTATATATATAAATATTTATATATTTTATATATATATAAATTTTATTATATTTTATATATTTAAAAATAAATTTATATATGTATGTTATATATATATATATATAAAATATATATAAATATATATTATATATTTATAATATATTTTATATTAAAATATATATATATATTTAAAATATATTTAAAATATATATATTAAAATTGTAAAGGAGGCCCACCATGACTAACATTATAAGAGATATCAAGTTATTTTTTTCTTAATCATTTAACAGGTAGTGATCTTCACAGCCAACAGGATCAACATGCCGAGAGATTTTACAGACTTCGAGTTCAGTTTTCTGACTTCTGATGATAGTGAGGAAATCATTAAGTTTCTGGACGAACAACTGGCACCTAGGGTTCCATTGGTAAGATACAATATTTCTAGTGCATCCCAGTAAAACATGCTGACACTTAATGAGGTTTTCCAGAGATTGTCTCATATATAGTGCTGAACAATTCTCCTTTTTCAAATATTATTTTCCTTCACAATATTATTCTACTAGTCTTTCTTCTTCCTTCAACAAACCGGCCGTATCCCACCGAGGCAGGTTGGCTCAAGAAGTAAAGTATACAGCAGAAGGGGTTACTAACCCCTTGCTCCCGGCATTTTACTGGCCTCTTACGACACCCATGACTTATTAAGGATGAATTCTGTTCCACTTCCAAATGGAGATAAGAGGAAATAAAGAAGAACAAGAACTAGTAAGAAAATAGAAGAAAACCCAGAGGGGTGTGTATATTAATACTTGTACACGCATGTGTAGTGTGACTTAAGTGTAAGTAGAAGCAGCAAGACGTACCTGAAATCTTGCATGTTTATGAGACAGAAAATAGACACCAAGAATCCTACCATCATGCAAAACGACTACAGACTTCCGTTATACACTCACTTAGCAGGACGGTAGTACCTCCCTGGGTGGTTGCTGTCTACCAGCCTACTGGAGTTTACCTGGAGAGAGTTTCGGGGGTCAACGCCCCCGCGGCCCGGTCTGTGACCAGGCCTCCTGGTGGATCAGCGCCTGATCAACCAGGCTGTTGCTGCTGGCTGCACGCAAACCAACGTATGAGCCACAGCCCGGCTGATCAGGAACTGTCTTTAGGTGCTTGTCCAGTGCCAGCTTGAAGACTGCCAGGGGTCTGTTGGTAATCCCCCTTATGTGTGCTGGGAGGCAGTTGAACAGTCTCGGGCCCCTGACACTTATTGTATGGTCTCTTAACGTGCTAGTGACACCCCTGCTTTTCATTGGGGGGATGGTGCATCGTCTGCCAAGTCTTTTTGCTTTCGTAGTGAGTGATTTTCGTGTGCAAGTTTGGTACTAGTCCCTCTAGGATTTTCCAGGTGTATATAATCATGTATCTCTCCCTCCTGCGTTCCAGGGAATACAGGTTTAGAAACCTCAAGCGCTCCCAGTAATTGAGGTGTTTTTATCTCCGTTATGCGCGCCGTGAAAGTTCTCTGTACATTTTCTAGGTCGGCAATTTCACCTGCCTTGAAAGGTGCTGTTAGAGTGCAGCAATATTCCAGCCTAGATAGAACAAGTGACCTGAAGAGTGTCATCATGGGCTTGGCCTCCCTAGTTTTAAAGGTTCTCATTATCCATCCTGTCATTTTTCTAGCAGATGCGATTGATACAATGTTATGGTCCTTGAAGGTGAGATCCTCCGACATAATCACTCCTAGGTCTTTGACGTTGGTGTTTCGCTCTATTTTGTGGCCAGAATTTGTTTTGTACTCTGATGAAGATTTAATTTCCTCATGTTTACCATATCTGAGTAATTGAAATTTCTCATCGTTGAACTTCATATTGTTTTCTGCAGCCCACTGAAAGATTTGGTTGATGTCCGCCTGGAGCCTTGCAGTGTCTGCAATGGAAGACACTGTCATGCAGATTCGGGTGTCATCTGCAAAGGAAGACACGGTGCTGTGGCTGACATCCTTGTCTATGTCGGATATGAGGATGAGGAACAAGATGGGAGCTAGTACTGTGCCTTGTGGGACAGAGCTTTTCACCGTAGCTGCCTCGGACTTTTACTCTGTTGACGACTACTCTCTGTGTTCTGTTAGTGAGGAAATTATAGATCCATCGACCGACTTTTCCTGTTATTCCTTTAGCGCGCATTTTGTGCGCTATTTACGCCATGGTCACACTTGTCGAAGGCTTTTGCAAAGTCTGTATATATTACATCTGCATTCTTTTTGTCTTCTAGTGCATTTAGGACCTTGTCGTAGTGATCCAGTAGTTGAGACAGACAGGAGCGACCTGTTCTAAACCCATGTTGCCCTGGGTTGTGTAACTGA